TATAATTGAGGTTATATATAACATTGAAATATTCTAAGAACATAAGGAAAAATGGGCGAAAGAATGTTGTTCGATCTTAATATGTAACCATTGTTATTGAAAAAGAATGTGATTAGAGAATAGTTTAAATTAGGACGTAAGGTGAAGATTTAGAGACCATGAAAAGTAGTATTTTGAACTTCAAATTGGAAAAATAATTGAGTTTTCCTAAGGTTTTGGGGAAAAAAAAAGATGAGAATATCATATATTGGCTCATAGGAAGTTATTAAAAGTATGATAGGGAAGATTAAATTTTGGGACTAAAAGTTCGTTGGAGAAATCATGCAATAGAAGTATTATGGCAAGTGATGATCAAATGTGCTCTACATATTTATATGTGTAAATCTTAGCTAATCGAATTTCGAGGACGAAATTCTTTTAAGGGGGTGAGTTTTGTAATACATTAAAAAAAAAAGAGAGAAAAAGAATAAAGTGAGGCGGTTCCACCCAAAATCAAATTAAAAACAAACACACACACTACACACACGAAGGAAACAAACCAGCGAGAAAAAAAGAGAGAGAGAGAGAGAAAAGAGAAAGGAAAAAAGAAAAAGAAAAAGAGGAAGAAAAAGAAAGAAAAAAAATGAAGATTCGCCAATGTGTTAGGAATTAAGTGGGTTATACTATTAGGCTTGAATTCCTCGATTTTGAAAGGTAAGTAAAAAGTTATTTATTGAAATGTTATGTTTAATTTTATAGTTGTTAGATTTTTAGACTAAATTCAATTTTATTAAAGGAGTTAAGTATAATAAACTATGAAATTGAGTAGAGTGAAAGAAAAACTAGTTTTAGTGATTAAAGAGATTGTAGAAATCGCTTAAACGTGAAATGATTAAATTTGAGTATCGTCTATTAATTATTGAAATTATTTAAAATAATTAATTGTTTATTTAAAAATTATATCATATTTCAGGCGACGATACTAACATTAGAACAGTTTACCAACGGGATTGATTTTGTGAACATAGTACTGTGAGTGGAAAAATATAAATATTTTTAAAATATTTATAAATTAAGTATATTGTTAAACTATGTGCAATTATATGCAATTATGTGTTCGAATTACATGATTATTATGAAAATCTATTTTATTATAATACATGTGAAATTTCAAGGATTATTTATTGTACATTTGTGACTTGGTATATGAAACATGTGATATTGAGATTTGTTTGGTATGTGAAACGTGATATAGAGATCAATTAAAAAAGTACCCGTGATTATGTATTTCTTCCAGTTCATAGAGGGGCATTGACCGTGTTTTATACTACACAGAGGGGTCAACTGGGGATGAAGGGTATATATAGTTCACTGAGGGACCTTGGCCGTGTTTTAGAATTGATTATCAGAGGTCTTGAGACCCGCTTTCGTTCACGGAGAGGCCAAAGGCTCGTGGCGAAAGTTCTTAGCCTGAGGGGGGATTACAAATTTTAATCAGAGGGTACATTTTTGGTGAATTTTTCTGTAAATTTGTTGTGATGAGATTATAACATGATTACCAGCTTATGTTTATATCATGACTTGAGATGATATTTTACCACGTTATGTGAATGTCTCACGTTTTGGCTATAATTATATGGTGTTATCTTGCGAGTTATCAATGAAATAAACTCGATTTTCGATAAAAATGTAAAAATGAAAAAGCATAATTATTTTCGAACTTCTTCACTCACTGAACTATCTCATATATTTTTCCGTAATTTTCCTACAGGTGGAAATTGATTCTTTTTAGCTGGAAGAGCCTAATAATTTCAGAATGAGAGCCACATGACATGTTGAATATTATAACTCATTTTGATGAAACACAAAGTAAATAATTTGAACCCATCACATTATGTTTTACATAAATATTTGATTTTGTTGCATTTTTTGAAATAACTCAAAGTAAGTCTTGGTGATAGATTTGAGATCTAGTCAGCAACTATCATCAGTGCACATCACGTTTCGGATCCATTAGGATGATTCGGGACGGGTCGTGTCAAATTGAGTTGGCTTGGCTCACATCGGGTGCGATGCCAACAGTATGGTCGCGTAGCTATGCAATGCAGACTTCATTTGACGACACCTTGCGGATCAGATCAGTCACCCAATACAAATTTTAAAATTTGATTTTTCAGTTTTTTTTTTTTTTTTTTTAGTTCGAGTTCTTTAAAGAGGGAAGGTGGTGAATCAATTTCTCCACATTTCAAGACTCTCTACAGTCTCGCTAATATACCACCACCATTCTCATCTCTTTAGCAGTATAATTTTACAATTATTACATAGTTGTTCATTTATTTTCAAACATTTCTTCAATTCCAAATTTTCTTGTACCAATTGTTATTATTAGTTACAGTTTTATTCTACACACACATATATGTAATTCGTTATAAATTGTTCTAGATTCATGAACCACAATGAGGATTTTAACCAATTTTTCGATAGTTCAAATAATCTCATCCATGATTTTTCTAAATATGAAAAATGTCGATACTATTGAATAGACAACCATTGAGCCTAATGAGGATTTGGAAGAAATGGTCTCTATGAAGATACAAAAAAGGCAAAAGCTTGTGAACCTATTTTTGAATGTTGGAAACACTTTACGAAAAAGAAAGCGGAGAATGGAAAGTAGATTACGGAATATAGTGTAATTATTTTGGAGAGGACTTTACTTAGAAATAAAAAAAATTGGCATTACCCATTACAACATGCAGAACGAAAAATGCCATTCTTGTTTTGAGACCGTTGACAATAGGCAAACTCAACTTCGATTTGGTTTAGGCGACGTACATTCTAGAGCAATTCTTGCAAACTCGATTTGTAATCCAGAAATAATGAGAAGGGGCATGTAACGTGGTACTGAGCTGTCTCTATCCACAGTTGAAAGTGTGCACTTGATGAATTTCATACATATATGTCTTCAGCCAAGGTACAAACCTACTAGTAGAGGTAAGCTTCGCAATTATGCTATAAATTTATATAGTATTAGAAAAGTACAAATTAATGACGATTTAAGAAATTATAGCGGTGTTATCTCATTTATTTTCGATCTCTAGCCGGTGAAAACTATTAATGATATATTTGTGCCACAGCCCATTATATTGATAAATTTTGGATCGTACATAAAAAGTTATTGCATTTAAGGTCATTGAATTTTCAAACAATGCACAAAGTATTTTCAATATATTAAAGATCATACCTTTTTTTTGTGAAGATAAAGTTTGTACTATCACTTTTGATAATGTTAATAATAACACCAATGTTATTGAAAATCTTATTAATGAACTCCATCTGGAATATAATGCGAAACTTTTTTCGCTTACGCTATGTTTGTCATTCTTAATTTCATTGTGTATAGGATGACCTTAATATATTGCACCACAGCTAACAAAAATTAAAAAGGCTATTGCTTTAATTTCTGTCTCTCCATCTTGTAAACAAGCAATTATGAGTACATGTGCAGATTTTAACTTACTCGAGGTATTGTCTGCAACGAATATGGTAACATGTAAGACTCTACAAATATCAAGCTACAATCTTGCGTTAATTATTACTAATATATATAATGATAGACATTCATATGATTGATTTTGATTTAAATTCTAATGATTGATTAATTACTTTTGAAATCATAAAATGTTTGAAGGTTTTCTTTGATGCAATCAATTCATGCGCGGGTGTCTACTATGTCACTACTCATATGGTTCTAATTCATTTTTTAATATTACAAAAAAAAATTAATAATAAATAAATATAGATATTGTTCATTTCTTGATGACATTTATTGCTACCAATACAATGAATTTCAGGAAAATATTGGGATGACTTGCCCAGGTTATTTCCTCTAACTGCGATTATGAACCCTAGTATTGACTTAAAGAGTGGTAAAGGTATTATTTAAAAAAAATAAACAAAAAAAACAAAAAAAAAATCTTTGCATTAAACATTTGATAATCCTCTAACATTGTGATATAAAAAGTACATTTTGCAATTTATATTCTCAATGTGCTGTCAAACACGGAAGGATTAATCATCTACAACGGTACAACCACTGCCTTCTACTGTTTCATCATTCTCTGATGATGATGTATGGACCCAAGCCCAACTACTGTAGGAAGTTCATCATTTTTTATTTTTCTTCTAGTGCTAGCAGGGGCAGAGCCCCATTAGGTGCCTGCACTGAACTTTTGGGCTCCTTTAGGCCCAAAATAATTTTTTTTTCTTGTTAAAGCCTGGATCAATGTAAAAGAAGCCCAATTGCCTCAGCCCATGACCCGTTTATAACCTAGACCCGATTTCATTCAAATCAAAACAATTTCATTCAAATCAAAACAAAACCCTTCACCCTTGCTGAGCAGCCTGAGCGCGTCTGTGTCGACCGGTCAACCCTCGCTGCCACTCCAACTCGCCAGTCGCCACTCCAACTCGCAGTCTCTGGCTTCTAGACTGTAGTTCCCGTCCACCGCCAAGTGCCAACTGCCACGAAGAAGAAGAATTGATACTTACTGTCATATCGATTCACTGGAGATTGGAGTCTAGAGAAGCCCGAAGCTGTCGGAGCCCAGAAGAACGAAGAAGGTGTACAATGAAAAGATAAAGGATCTCCTAGTTGAAAACTCCAATCAACCTGCTGCGAAGTAAGTTTCACCAATTTTTGTCAACTAACACTTTCTTTTATTCATGTTAGATTACTTTATGGGGGAAGCTTATGCAAATTATAAGAAAAAATTGTCTTTCGTGTCATAGATCAGTTTTCTTTATCTCAAAGAGAAAGAATTAAGATTGTGCTCTGTTGTCTAGAAAGAAAAATTTGTCTGCTCGATATTAAGTTCAAAACTTCTATTCCCAGTTATACAACATTAATGATTCCTTGATTGAAGTTTAATGTGGATTTTCTTTTTCATCTCTCACTATCTATATTTGTCATTACTTTCTTCCTGCTTATTTTTGATTGTGAGAAATGATTCTGTTGAGAGGTTATGGCCGGTTTTGATAGCTCTGTTTTAATCTTGATGGGGGTAGATTGCCTGGTTTGGTATTGGTACATTCAAAATGAAGCGCTAGCTTATAGGAAATGAAACAATGAATACAATTTGTGGCTTTAATTACTTGCAATGTACAATATGAGCAACTGAAAGATGTTTATATGTATGCAGTATGCTCAATTGTTTTTTGTTTAACAATTTTATCTTGGCATCATTTTGCTTTTGGTATGGTAGGATGGAGATGAAGTCAACTATCAATTGAGACATAACAGTAAAATACGAAGTCTGTGAAGGAAATAATTTGGAATACAAGTTATGAGGTTTCTTTAACACAGACAATATTTTGAGATTATTTGCCTCCATAACTCTTCTGATGAATTTCTTTAATACATGCTTTCCCATTTGGATTACATGCTTTCCCATTTGAAATTGGATTGATAAAGTGAAATTGTGAATTGGATTGTGAAATAGTATAAATTGCATTGTAAAATTGCGAATTGGAAAGTGAGTTGATATTGTGAAATTGGATTGATAATGTGAAATTGTGAATTGGATTGTGAAATGTGAATTGCACTTGCGAATTGAAATTGTGAAATTGTGAATTTATGATCCTTTTGTCATTATGAATTATTCTCACTCACTTCAAGTAATAATTAGATATCAAATGTTTAAATCCAGATATCAAATGAATAGATACTTTCAACGAAAAAGGATCGTAGATAGTGTTGATGAGGGGGTATCGAATAATGTGGATGTTGATGAGGAAGTATCGAATAATGTGGAGTTTGATGTCACAAAACTTCCAACTGATCCTGGTCTAAGGATATACCTATTTTAGATTACAATGCTAATATTCGAGATGAAGTTCGAAGAGCATATATGTTAAAGGGTCCTTGTCAGCCCCAAGATCATGACTTTCCAAAATGACAATTTGGAGTAATAATTAGACGATTCAATCTTTCGTGGTTTAAAGAGTTTGGTAGTTGGTTGGAGTACAGTGTAGAGAAGGATGCTGCTTATTGTTTGTATTGTTATCTTTTCAGAACAAGTTCTGGAAAGTAAGGTGGAGGTGAGTCTTTTGTTGGCGAAGGTTTTACATATTGGAAAGATAAAAAAAGGCTTCATACTCATGTTGAACTTCATGACAGTGCACATAATCAAGCTCGCATTAATTGTGAAGTGTTAATAAATCAAGAGCAACACATTCAATCAGTTTTCCACAAACAGTCAGAACAAGCAAGAAATGCATATGTTACACGCCTTAATGCATCCATTGATTGTGTTTGAGTTCTTTTGCGACAAGGGCACTCATTTCGAGATCATGATGAATCTGAGGATTCTCTCAATCCAAGTATCTTCTTAGTGCAATTGCAATTTTTGGCTGCTCATAATGAAGTTATCAATGCCGTCACATTGAGAAATGCTCCTCACAATTGCAAATTGACATCACCTGATGTTCAAAAGTATATAGTAAATGCTTGTGCTATTGAAACGATCAATGTTATTATCAAAAATGTTGGCGACTCACTATTTTCTATTCTAGTTGATGAATCTTGTGACGTGTTAATGAAGGAGCAGATGTCTATTGTTTTACGTTATGTAGACAATAGTGGGCATGTCAATGAACGCTTCAAAGGGATTGAACATGTTACAAGTACCACGGCTCTATCACTTAAGGCTGCAATTGATAAGGTATTTTGTAGATATAACTTGAGTATGTCTAGATTGAGAGGACAAAGTTATGATGGAGCAAGTAATATGCAAGGTAAGTTTAATGGTCTGAAAACACTCATTTTGAAGGAGAGTCCGTGTGCCTTTTACATTCACTGTTTTGCTCATCAACTCCAACTTGCGCTTGTGGCTGTGGCAAAGAAGAACATCCCTATTACTAACTTCTTTCGTGTGGTTGGGAATGTGATAAATACTGTTGGAGTATCTTCCAAACGTTGTGATCTTCTTCGAGAAAAACAATTAGACTTTATTGTTGAGGCATTGGAAAAAGGTGAGGTTTTAAGTGGATGGGGACTTAATCAAGAAACGACCCTTCAACGCTCTAGTGATACACGATGGAGTTCACATTATAATTCTTTGGTCAGCTTGCTTGCCATGTTCCCTTCTATTTTAGATGTACTTGCAATGATTTTTGAAGATGAATCTTGTTCTTGTGATCAAAGATCTGATGCGACAAATTTATTGGAGTTGATACAAAGATTTGATTTTGCATTTAATCTACAATTGATGAGAAGTGTGTTGGGGATGTCAAATGAACTGTCAAAGGCATTGCAAAGAAAAGATCAAGATATTGTGAATGCAATGCAATTGGTGAGATTGTGCAAACGACGACTCCAAATAATGAGAGACGAAGGGTGGGACTCATTTTTGGAAGAAGTGTGTTCTTTTTGTCAACAATATTACATTCATGTATCCAACATGGATGATATGTTTGTACGCCTTGCAATTCGTGGTCGCCCTCAGTGTAATTCTTTAGAAATTACAAATTTACATCATTATCGAGTAGATTTGTTCTACTCTGTCATCGATTTACAACTTCAAGGATTGAATGATCGTTTCTCGGAGGTAAATACAGAGTTACTCCTTTGTGTAGCTTGTTTATGCCCACAAGATTCATTTTCTTCTTTTGACAAGAAAAGCTTGATTAGACTTGCTGAGCTTTATTCATTAGATTTCTCTGCAGTAGATGACATTGTACTTAGCGATCAACTTGAGACTTATATTTTTGACATGCGCTCTAACAAAGAGTTTGAAGGGTTGAATGGCCTTGGTGATCTTGCGGAGAAGTTGGTTTTGACAAAGAAAGATAAAGTATATTCATTGGTTTACAGACTTTTGACTTTAGCATTGATTTTACCGGTTGCTACCGTAACTGTGGAGAGAGTTTTTTCTGCAATGAGCATCGTAAAGAATAGATTGCGCAATCAGATGGGTGATCAGTGGATGAATGATAGCACTATTATTTATGTAGAGAGAGATATATTTTTGAAGCTCGATAGTAAAGTTATTGTACGACGATATCAAAATATGAAAACTCGCAAGAAACAAGTTTAATATATAAATTATGTCTTTTGTAGTGTTGTTGTAATATTGTTTTATTTTTTTATCATCATTAAATCTATGACCAAAACCTCGAAATTCAGCGTCGAAAAAGGATGCCCGCACAAAACATAAATCCTGGCTCCGTCCCTGAGTGCTAGTATCAAACAAAATGAAATTCATGTTGAGTTAAATACATATTTTTAATACCATATTCTAATTGTGTTAAATAGAGAAGAGATAAATAATTTTAACCTTCTTAAATGCCGATGAACAAATAAAAACTAATATGTGATATTATATTTGATAGCACATGATTTATTTATGCCTCCAATGTCAATTGTAGAATTGAATGTTGTGTTTAGCATAGGTGGTGGGTTTTGTCGAATGAAAAAAAGAAGGTCGAAAAAAGGTATATTTAAGGTTCTATTGTATTTGAAAGATTGATAAGATGCAGACTATCAAATACAAGACAAGGTAAATTATCAAAAAATTTCAATAATTATAATCTTCTAAAAAAAATTTAGTACACTAAGTTTTAGATATATTATTGTAAATTGACATTTCATTCTTTATTAAAAAAATTGTACACGAAATATTCATTTATGTACAATGTATTGTAGTCATTTCTAAAAGGGGCAAAGGAGGACGGTTTTACAATTTTATGATTTTTTTACGTTCAATATCTCCATACAAATTCGTGTCTTCATTATATTTTGTAGAGTGAAAATATTTTTGGAAAGCTTGGCTAACCCCATATGCGAATACAAGCTGATTTGCATTGTGGTTCATGCAGCTCAATTCGATCCATTTAACATCCCTACATGCAAGTTGTATACGAACTGGTGCTTTTGATCAAGAACTAGAAGGGATGAATCTAATCAAACTTTTACAACCAATACATCTACTTGACTACCAATGAATCTACCTATAGTGAATGCGTATACTCCAGTCCCGATAAATCTATTTGGCCCCGGGTACTTCTACTCAGGCAATTCATCATCAATGAAACAATTCAGTAGTTTAAGCTTTGGGTACCAGATTTAATGGTGTTTGGACCATTAGATGCTATTTCTGACAACTAGCTTGAGGAAATTGATAGGAGCAGAACAAGAAAGCTGCAGCTGTATTTTGCTATTATATAATGATCATAATCATGATGTGATGCATGTTTTCTCAACTACCATCATTTCCTCAATCACTACTTTTTTTATATTTATTTTATTGGGTTTGGGGAAATCTAGTGAAAAGTAAGATATTACTATAGATATGCAGTAATACTATTGTCTCTTTCATTTCAAGACATATCTCGTATCTATATCAATACATGCTACGTAATTGTCCCGATTTTTGGGTTCAATTCTTACAAAGATTACAAGACATCCCCCCCCCAAATTTAAACCCCCCCCCCCCCCCCCCTCCAAACAAATTTCTATCCACCAATTCCTTCCCTCAATTTTTCACCATGCCAAATAAGTCAGACAGGCTGGTCACTGCACAAAACACACATGGAGACATCGGGTCCAAATCCCAAAACAAAAGCTAAGTCTAAATCGACAAGTTTTTCTTCTTTAATCATTTTTATTACGTACCAAAGATGCCCTCGCAATATAGCATTGTTTGACTTTTTGGTTCTACGGTAACTAGCAAACTTTTGCAGTATTTCGCAAGTAGAAACATTTTAAATTGTACTCGTTAGTCGCCTGTTAAACTCTTAAGCCATAACGCATTGCCAGATATCATCTCATATATTAAATACATGAATCCTGTATGTACAACTTCATTATTCCAGTATTTAGCCTGCAAAATCGAGAAAGGTGATAAAAATGCGTAGTAATTCACCATTCTTAGTCCAATTCTGCCTCATATTTACCACGGGATCATATGTTTTCATCGAGAAAGAGCTCCTTGCATAACATCTGCAAAAATGCATCGAAATCTTTTTCTATAAAAATGTGTATATAAGCGGAAGAGAACTCATGCACTCCATAGCAAGGAGAAGAAAGGAAAGATAATAAAAAAAAAATGATACACAGACAATATATGCATTTATGGACAGGAATTTTGGGTCAGGAATCATAGATCTATTCAAAATTGAGTGATAATCTATCGTATATTTGATTTAGGATTACTTTCTATTTATTTGTTTTCTATTTTTGTTGTATTTTTCATTTATTAATAGAACATGCCTCCTACAATGGTTTTGAAAAAAATGGATTAAAGTACGTTCTTCATTACTACATACTTGGGTTTCTTTTTGTGAAAATCATGAACATCTTGACAGTTTTTTGACTTTTGTCATACAAATTAAGCATATATAGCCACGTTCATTAACCTTGTTGAAACACAATTTTCTTTGAAAGTTAAGACCCTTTGCAGTGACAATGGATTGAATTTACAATGAAAAATTTCTATTTAGATAAAAGTATTATTCATTGTTGACACCAGAATATGTTGCCAACAGATGCCGAACCCACCTGTGCATACGTAAGCGAAAGTCCAACGCGCAAAGACACGTGGACGGTCTAAAATGGACAGATCAAGGGCGTGGGAGTAGCTCAACAGCGCGGGATGAGAACGTTTGGAATCCGGGGAGATGTTCGTAGACCGATTGTACAATAATTACCAATCGATATTTGTAAATGTGTAAACTCGTATTGTGTTGTAAGATAATAAAAGAGAGTTGAGTAAAGTGTTGTTTCTTGTATTGGTTCTTGCATTACCCCTTTAATGTTACATAAGGGAAGTATTTGTAGTAGTACATGTGAAATAGTGGCCCTTAAATGAGGAGGCACGTGGCCTCATCTCCTTAACCCAAACGTCTAATCCTAGGCATCATTCTTAACTTGCTAGCCTGTTGCACATTTATTGCTTATGTAGAACTCCCACTCTATTGACAAGACTTAACATTTTACACTCATGACAAACGTCCCATCAATCGTTTAAACACAATCTTTATGTAGAAGAAGATCTATTGGGAGAAGTGAATATGGAATATGCTCATTTATGGTTTGAAGGCTTTTGCTTCCGTTTCAAGGCTTCGGCCATTCACATAATACTTCCACTTCATGACTTCGGCTCCATTTTCATGGTGCTTTCGCATCATGGCCTCGACTACTTTTCACAGTGCTTCGGCATAAGAGCCTCGGCCACTTTCACAGGGCTTCGGTATATGGGTCTCGGCAACTTTCACAGGGCTTCGGTATATGGGTCTCAGCCACTTTCACAGGGCTTCGGTATATGGGTCTCGGCAACTTTCAAAGGGCTTGGGCATAAGGGCCTCGGCCACTTTCACAGGGCTTTGGTATATGGGCCTCAGCAACTTTCAAAAAGCTTCGGCATAAGGGCCTCAGCCACCTTCACAGGGCTTCGGTAGATGGGCCTCGGCAACTTTCAAAGGGCTTCGGCATAATGGCCTCGACCACTTTCACAGGGCTGCAGTATATGGGCCTCGCAACTTTCAAAGGGCTTCAGCATAAGGGGCTCGGTATATGGGCTTCAGCCATACATACCACCTCGGCTGGAGTGCCACATGGTTCGACATGAGTGGGCCATAGGCCCCAGTGGTTGGCTAAGTGTGTCAACACGTAACAATAGTCCCCCAAATCCAAGTATAGTCAATTATATAATGTGTGGACTTTAATGAAGTAAAGCCAATGAGTTGGGTAAAAATTGAAAGAATTTTTGAACCCCAAATAATAGTCCTTAAAGTTCAAGTATAGATATTTATATCATGGTTGGAGTTAGAAATGTGCTATTGTGGATGAATGATGAAGAAGTCGAGGTGGTTGAATAAATCGAATCTGCGAGGCTTGTGAAAACTGAATTGTGATGAAGCCGAGGTGGTTGAGAAATCGAACCTGCGAGGTTTGTTATGGTTGAATTGTGATGAAGAAGTTGAGGTGGCTAAGAAATCAAACCTGCGAGGCTTGTGATGGCTGAATTGTAATGAACAAGTCGAAGTGGTTGAGAAGTCAAACCTACGAGACTTGTTATGGCTGAATTGTGATGAAGCCGAGGTGGTTGAGAAATCGAACCTGCGAGGCTTGTTATGGTTGAATTGTGATGAAATCGAGGTGGTTGAGAAATCGAACTTGCGAGGTTTGTGAAGGTTGAATTGTGATGGAAAAGTCGAGGTGGTTGAGAAATCAAACTTGCGAGGTTTGTGAAGCCTAAATTGTGATGAAGCCGAGGTGGTTGAGAAATCGAACCTGCGAGGCTTGTTATGGTTGAATTGTGAAGCAGTTGAGGTGGTTGAGAAATCTAACCTGCGAGGCTTGTGATGGCTGAATTGTGATGAAGAAGCGGAGGTGGTTAAGAAAATGAACCTGTGAGGCTTGTGATGGCTGGATTCTAAGGCTTAAGCTGCTGAGGCACCTCCACCATTGACTGGGCTTAGTGTAGTTCACTTTTCAGTTTATATCAATGTACTGGCCTCAGACCCACCCTTTGTAATCTTGATTAAAGATCAATGTAATCTATCTTCATCATATGTTGTTTTTCTTCCAAGTGCACTGGCCTCATTAAGTAGTTGAACTTAAGAATGACCTAATAACTAACTCAAGTAGTAACTTGAACTTGATGTCCTAACTCCAATCACATGAAATTATAACTTAAGCCACATGAACAATGGCTCAACTCATATTGAACTTAAGCAAGTTGTGACGTTCAAGTGAGTTGAAGTACTTAAGTTTGATAACTTTAAAACTTGAATGGATGGTTAAACTGAAAAACCTTTCAACTGAATTGGACTACTTTGGCATTCTAACAGCTTTAGTAGGTTAGGTTGAAAAGGTAGAGCTGCGTGGAGCTCGTAGTGATTGAGCCTCGTGAATCAATGGGTAAAGGAGTTCGATAAAAGTAGAGGCTTCTTTCTTTGGCATTCAGCCTCGCCAAAAGAAAGCATGTGGCGTACGCCTTGGAGTTCAAGCGAGGTGACCCAGAATTGGGATCAAGACCTCTCCTTTGAGGTGCCGACGCTTCCCAACATGGTGGATGGTTCAGCCATGTTGAGGTTTCTCCCC